GGCCAAGAAACATGCAATGCAACCGCCATATGATCCCTAGGTGTAATTGTTTTGCATACAAGTCGACGTAGATACCTCCTGTGACCGCCGTACAGGAAGGAAATTTTCCGGTACGACAACATGTGAGGTCCAGAACCGAACACAAAAGCAGGAATCACCATTCAGAGCGTAAAACGTCGCCGTCCATGACTTATGCATATGAATTCACGTGTTCTCTTCGCGTTTTTCTCCTTCTTCGTAAGGCCAACGCGTCGACCAACGCACATCTTACACCCGTCCGGTCCAGAGCCTCTATAGCAATAATATTGACATAAACATAAAAGTCATTTATGAACATCTGCTACGTTTGTCTAGCATTGTCGTACCGGAGGTTGGGTCGGCAGCAGACCATGAACTTCTCGCCTAGGAAAATACTTAGCGCAGCCAAGAAACATAATTTAAATCTGTTAGTTCATCCCATTGGTCTTAGGATTGCCTTCAAGTCGACGTAGATGCCACCTCCTGTCACCGCCGTATCGGAATGCATTTATCAAGCAAAAGACCCGACAAGATTATAACCTTGCAGAACTCAGTGCTTTTGGAAAAGAGGTTTAGACCTTGCCACCCCGGCAAGCCAGAAACTAGTTTCGGTCGCAAAACTTTTGTATTTTCAAAGCATACACACGCGTGATACCTAAGAATACGATAATTATTAACAGTTTAATACTTGTGGAATTTCGTAGGCGTTTGCGGTGCAACTGGCGCGAATAGGAGGTCTTCCTAGCAGGTCTTAATGACGAGGGGTGCCTGACGGCGTTGCATGGACTCCATCGATGCATGTGCCTCGGCATGACGGGTGAATACAAAACGGTTCATATGCACAGACCTCATAGTTTGCAGCATTTTAAGGGAGGTCAGAGGTGTTTCGCACGCAGCAGCTAGTGCAGCTTTGCCCCGAACACTGTATACACGAGTGGCCTACATAAAGGCATACCTTTATACAACGGACTATTAGGCTCTCACAGTTTTGCATGCGTACACATGGTAACCTATAGCCTACAGGCCTATAGGCCATGCTGTATACAACAGATCGCCTATAGGTGTGATGTATACGATCATATACGCGAAATCACCTATACTCCACATATTCCGCGGTCCTACCTATTAGGCGATGGCCCGGCCTATAGGTGACTTCCAATTTTACTGACGTTATACCGACGCCATGCCACAGGATTCTGCCAGGAGGATAACGAGGCTACCGGTTTCAGCAGCGCTGCTGGGGCTAGCCCTCCTTCTGTAGAAGCCCCTTTTGGAGAGGTCCTCGGCCAGGAAGGCGACTCCGCTGTCACGGGTGCGACTGCTTCTGTCGCAGCCGATGTGTCGGGCGAGCTCATTTTATTAGACACCAACTTGCAAGAGTCAACGCACTGCTGGGCCGTTCGCAAAGGTGACGGGACTCTGATGGCAATAGCCCTTGGATATGAGCCCCCGAAAACGGATAAACTTGGACAGCCCGTGTCGCTTGGAGCGCTTGTGACTCTTGTAAGTTGCTCGTCTTGTAGGTAGAGGACCTTCGCGTGGGCGTTTCTGAGCTTTGCTAGTCGGCATACTCGCACCCCTTTATTTTTTAGCATTTTAAAGGTAGTATGTACATGGCTGGATGGGGAAGACGCAATCCAGGATAAAGCCGTGCTGCTGCCTAAGTCAACAGAATGCTCATCATTTCCTGCGAGGATGTGTTGTAACACATCTACCGGGAGCCTCCTAATTACACCTTACCCAAAGATTACGACGTACTGTGCCAGACAGGTGTGCAGACAGGTGTCTCCCATTTATTCGGGTTCTGAATGAGCATCAACTGCTGGTTTAACCTGCTGTGTTAGGTTTCCCTAAGTTGTAGCTGTAGTACAGCATGGCACACGCATCGTCTATTAATACGTGCTAATAATTTTAGCGGCCAGCTACTATACCCTAGGGCATAGCATGGCTTAAACTTCCATCCTAACGAACCCTTGCCCCAACCCTGGCCAGCATCTGCTGCGTTCCCTTGCACATTTTGCCGTATTGTCCAGAGATGCTGGGCATCCATTAAAGCCATATCCCATCCCTAATTTTTTGTTTTATCGCAGCCATGCGAGATCGACACGTTTGGCGTCTGCAATCCAGTCACAAGCAGTAGCACAATCGTCTTATCGCAACAGCCATTGCTCTTGCCGAATATTAACATAACCCGCCAACAGCTGCTGGTGATCATCCTGGACTATGTTGATTGCGGCATACGCGCCTCAATGAACGAAAGCTTTTTGCGTCAAATCTTCTTGGGGCCCAAGGAAGACGGCAGCGGCGGTGTCGCGCAAAAGTACAGGCAGTGCTCGTACGACAAGCTTAGCCTAAACACCACAGCGTTCAAAGTGATCACCGTGAATGGCAGTTGCATGGGAGGGTTCCTGAGTGCCTGCCAGCCATTGACCATTTCTAATGATGCCGACACTGTAGTGAGATCGCTGCTAGGTAATGCGGCGTTTTCAAGCTTTACTCACAGGTTATACATCCTTCCTCCTGGCATGTCAAGAGTGTGTGCGTGGACGGGCCTAGGGACGCGGCCTGGAAACCAGATCTGGCTACAGACATCAACCGGGCCCAACTGGGAGGTGGTCATGCGTGAGGCCCTCCATAACTACGGTGAGGAAGCAAGAATGGGGGGGGGTCGTAAAACTAGGCTTCGTACGTATGATTTGAATGCCCACAGATTCCTGTACATGCTGACATCTTTCAGGTACCCTGAGATAGACGAACGGTCGAGGACGCCCTTAATTCTGGAGGGGGGATAATTGTAGTATCCTGGGTATCACGGGATTGACATCCGCCGATCGGTTCTTTTCCTGCGATTAGACGTGATACAACACTTAGTAAGCAGAAATACTGTCTGATATAGTCCTCTATTATGTTCGAGGTTTATTTATTTTAATGAAATAATATGACCGAATTTAAACCATTAGTAATAAATATTAAAATTATTGAAAGGGGATAGCACCGGTATATATTTTATAGATTCTAGCAAATTAATAAATGCAAAAAATCTATACACCATTTGTTGCTAAATCTTTTTTCTAAAGAATGGTGGGTAAGACCTTTTCTTAAATTAGACCGTACTTACCCGTAGAAAAAATACTTGGTGTTAGCTTAAAGAAAGAAGAAGGTGAATTCAATACGATCGGAGGCTGCTACCGATATATAGCCTATTTCTGATTATCTTGTTTATCATATTTACTCTTATAATTATTATCAGCAGGATTTAAGAGTGGATCGATTACTTTAAGCTTCAATAGTGGTGGTAGTAGTACTATTAGTAGTGCTATTAGTAGTACTAGTAGTACCAGAATAGTACTATTAGAAGTAGTACTAGTAGTAGTTGTTGTTGTAGTAGTAGTAGCAGCAGCAGTTTCAACCGCAGCGGTAGCAGTAGCAGTAGCCCCTACAAACGCGGAGGGGGGTTAAGAAACTTAGGAGAATGCTTAAGAACGATAAGAACGTCTGAAGAACACGGAGGCGTCGGGTGTGCATTCTTAAGAATTCTTACACTGGGATTAAGCGGTTTTATGTAAGTATGTCTCATAAGTATGCATTAAGAATGCATCAGCCATGAAAACATTCTGTAATGAATGCCTGATGGAGCTCTTATAGTTCCAGGATAGGTAATATATCACAGTGATTGTGAAACAGTGAACATACCATGAAATTTCATGAAAACCATGATTTTCATCCTGGAACTATAAGAGCTGTTGATGATCAGCAACATGTGTCTAGGTCTAGACCTTCGATCTAATAATGCGAGATCTAACAGGTTTAGACCTGTTAGATGGATTATTGAGTTCATAGATATCTATGGCTACATTGATGGCTACACCGATGTAGCCAATAATTAAATCCCCTATCAATCACCATGAATATCTAGTGGGCCGCACTGCATATACATCAGTGTACACTGATGGAGGGTGTCAAATTGGCGGCCCATCCTTGCATTCTTGGGGAGTCTTGGCAGGATGCATGAATATGCATCCTGTCAGTTGGATACATCCTACACCCCCTTTCCATATCCTCAAGCCAATGCTTGCTAACATCCCACACCCTGCTGACTGCATCCCCTCATCCTCTGCCATCCTCATCCTTGGTGGGTTGGTGTTAACTCTTCCTGGGTCCACATTTCTATCCTTCTCCTTCCTATCCGTATCCTGTGCTCGACCCTCCACTGCATCCTGACTGAGCATTCTGCCACCAAGGGGACGCTTGGTGGTTAATAATTAGCCAGGTGCAGCTGTCAATGAAGGTTTTGGTAAATTCGGTCTCAGGCACCCAAGGGACACCCAAGGGACACCCAAAAGACAGGGAAGGGACACCAAAGGGACATGGAAGAGACACCAAAGGGACATGGAAGGGACACCCAATTGGGTGTCCCTTGCAAGGGACACCAAAGGGACACCCAAGGAACGCCCAAGGGGCACCCAAGGGACACCCAAGGGGCACGGGAGGGATACCCAAGGGGCACGGGAGGGATACCCAAGGGCACCAAAGGGACACGTGGAAGAGACACGCGGAAGAGACACCCAAGGGACACCCAAAAGACAGGGTAGAGACACCAAAGGGACATGGAAGAGACACCAAAGGGACACCAAAGGGATAAGCTTCCTCCCCTTTGGGGAGAACCTTCAGTGTACACCATGTCGGTGTACACATGTCGGTGTACACATGTCAAAGGGGTGGCACCGGAGGATACCCTCCTGTACCACCCTGCCACTGGAGGTTACCCTCCTGTACCACCTAGCCACCGGAGGATACCCTCCTGTACCACCTAGCCACCGGAGGTTACCCTCCTGTACCAACCTGCCACCGGAGGATACGCTCCTGTACCACCTTGCCACCGGAGGTTACCCTCCTGTACCACCTAGCCACCGGAGGATACCCTCCTGTACCACCCTGCCACTGGAGGTTACCCTCCTGTACCACCTAGCCACCGGAGGATACCCTCCTGTACCACCTTGCCACCGGAGGTTACCCTCCTGTGCCACCCTGCCACCGGAGGTTACCCTCCTGTACCACCCTGCCACCGGAGGGTACCCTCCTGTACCACCTTGCCACCGGAGGTTACCCTCCTGTACCACCTTGCCACCGGAGGTTACCCTCCTGTACCAACCTGCCACCGGAGGCTACCCTCCTGTGCCACCCTGCCACCGGAGGTTACCCTCCTGTGCCACCCTGCCACCGGAGGGTACCCTCCTGTACCACCTTGCCACCGGGGGATACCCTCCTGTACCAGCCTGCCTACCCTCCTGTACCAACCTGCCACCGGAGGATACCCTCCTGTACCAACCTGCCACCGGAGGCTACCCTCCTGTGCCACCCTGCCACCGGAAGGTACCCTCCTGTACCACCCTGCCACCGGGGGATACCCTCCGTACCAGTGCTACCACCAACCTGCCACCGGAGGATACCCTCCTGTACCAACCTGCCACCGGAGGCTACCCTCCTGTACCACCCTGCCACCGGAAGGTACCCTCCTGTACCAGCCTGCCACCGGAGGATACCCTCCTGTGCCACCCTGCCACCGGAGGGTACCCTCCTGTACCACCCTGCCACCGGAGGGTACCCTCCTGTACCGCCCTGCCACCGGAGGATACCCTCCTGTATCCTGCACGGTGGAACGTAGTGCCAATCTCCGGCAGGTAGGCCGAGATGTAAGCTACCTGGGCGGGGTGCTATGGTGAGGCACTTAAGCATCACGACTACTTGGTGTTCAGAGTTCAAGACTCCGCGGCCGCCGTCTCAGATTGTTTCGTACGGGTCTATGTATGCTAGTGCTTGTCGCTGGGTTGGACTTCTTCCTCCTCAGCGAGGACTCTAAATTCCACGCTTCCGCAAAGCAAGTCATCCGCCCAGGTGAGGGACTGCTACAGTTTCAGTAGCCCCAAACTCTTCTTGTGGGGGCTTGTAGAAAACACATGAGTCTGCCAGCCTCTCCATGGCAAGCAAGGATGCTTCCATTTGGATTCAGCTAAACATGGCAGTGGCCTCGGGGCGCCTCTTGTTTTTCATGCAACTGCAGCAGCCAGGGATGGTGCTGGGCAGTGGGCTGCAGCAGGTATGTGGCCATGTCAGGCTGCACGCCAGGTTTTTGCACATGGGCCAGGGCTGATAGCTGAGTTGCTGAACAGGTGTTGAGTTGTTTGTCGTACACGCACATATGTTCGTGTACGGCACTTGGCGCAGCTCACAGGATACGCACACGTTTTTAGCATAGATAGAGAACTAATCCGTCTTGCGAGAATATCTTGCATCTTGATGTGTCGTCTCTTAAAGCATAGGTTTAGTGATAGAGTTTAGTATAAACATTTCGTAGTCTTAGGTTCGAGTCCAGCAAATTACACCTAATTATGTGAATTTCAATGTAAGAATCCCTGATATATCTGTGGATCTCCCAGAGAAGGGCGCTAGCAAGCAGAAGTAGAGATGAGAAAGCAGAGGTCGGTACATGTGTCTGAATGTCTTTTTCGTCATGACCACCCCTTGAGAATCCCACATTCTTAAGGCTTAAGAATATAAGCAGCAAAAAGAATTTCCTGAGAATATGACTTAAGAATGAGTGCCATACTTAGCGAACCTATGGTAAGAACGGTTAAAACCGTCCAAAGAACAGCTAAGTATGCTTTAGACAAAGAATCAATAAGTTGGCCTAAGAACGTATAAGAACACCCCAAAGAATGGAAGAGAATACATAAGACTGCTGGGCCCTTAAGAATGCTAAAGAATTTGAAAGAACGGTTTTAAGATAAACGGAGGTCATACGAACGTTCTTAGAACGTTCTTAGAACAGTGTAAGAACGTTCTAATGATTATTCAATTTTATCAATTTGGCTGGGCTAAGAACGACTTAAGAACGTTCTTAACCCCCCTCCGCGTTCGTAGGGAGCAGCAACATCATGATAGTAGTCGAAACAGTAATACTCGCGAGCTGACCAGGAACTAAGTTGAGGCGCCGTTGATCCGCTAGATTTGGTTGGATGCTGGTGGTGAGTTGCCAAACTCAAAGAGTACACTCTGAAGTCGGATGGGGTGAATGGCTTAGGGTGCCCCTCTAGCAGGGGAGAGCAGGGAATTGCCTCGGGAAGGAGGCCACTGGTGAAGCTTAACCACCCTGTAACAAAGAAAGAAAGTAATAGTAGAAAAGACAATTTATAGGCGATAAAATTGTACAGACGCGGGTGCTTCGGTGTCAGGGTTGTATCTACATGCTATGCGTCGGCCTGTATGGTGGCCAACTACTAAACATATATACATTTCCCTGTCATGTGGTTCCCATCTCGGATCCTCGCTTACGTCCATACAAACCACCTGTGCCTATCTCGGCATACGCCTGGTAATTGGTGGGATAAGTCAGTTGGGCCACGTGACGTCATGTACCGCTATGATCCGGCTGTCTGGCCTCATGCGTATTGTAAACACACTCTTGACCATGGCCAGCATCAGCAACAACAAATGAGGGTAATAATGTAATAGACGGCCTCTCGCGATGCTGGCAGACTCTGCCACGGCGGTACGGCAGCCTAGTAGCTAGTATCCGTTACCCATGACATTGTCTTAGCTTCTATCTGCCCCTTCTATCTTGCGTGTAGTCCGATGATAAATGTAGGGCTTAGTCTTTTTGCATTTCTGCTGGAGGTTCTGCAGTCAGGTAGAACAGCTAGTGAGAAAGGTCTTAAGAAACCGAAAACAGGTCTACACAGGTTTAAATGTTTGACCTGCCCCGCGTGGAGACTCTGAAAGCGTCAAATTTGCTTGTGTAGCATTGAAGTATGTATACTATAAATTTATAGCTGTGATTGAATGAAACGAGCTTGTGCATGAAGGTGGATAGGTGCATGTGAGGCGGCACATGACGTGACGTGGATTGAGCACCCACTGCGCGAGGGTAATTGCCCTCTTATACGAAATGGTAGACACAGGCTGATGTGGCCGAAAGGGCCTTTTTCAGCGGCCAGCTACTACAGCCCGACGCCATTGCCGAAGGTTGTGTTTTTTATCGTACATTACATCCATAGCCGATATTGCCATCTCCACATCCGATCTACCAACGAATGGTTGCGCCCCATACGCAGGTCTGTCATGTTCCTGGCAGTACGCGAGCCAGACTGGCGATAGCTCTACAATTATGGGTTCTGGCATTGCCTGCCCCAACGCGCCCGAGCTAGCCTACATGGGCTGGGCCACACCCGCGGCAGGCGGCGACCGCATCGACTCAGAAGCGCTGCCTGTAGGCACTGCTCTAAGCTTCGAACTGCCCGCCACCTACCTATCCCCGGACGGAAACTACCTCCGGGTCGTCCCCGACTGGTTGCCATCGTACAGCAACAAATCCGCAGCCAAGAATCTGTACATTGCCGTCCGAGTCAACAAGGGTGGCGACAGTGGTATGACACCGTTGAACGCCAACAAAGTGCATATTCACGAGCTCAATGCGACGATGGTGCGTTGCTGCTGTATGTTCTGAGGTACCGGAATATAAGGGCAGGTTACAAAAGCAGTAGCTGCACTCGCTCGCGGTGCAAAGCCGGGGTTGTTTCGTGTCGTCGTAATAATAGTGTGGCACCAGCAGTGATCTCAGCCTTGCAAGATCCACATCTTGTATGTAAGCATGACCTGTTGTGGTGTATACATGTTCTCTTATTACCTTGTTCACAGCATTTGCACCTTATAGCTTTTTGCGCAAGAAGACACACGCTGCAGCAAATACAGTAGTAAGCCCCTTATGTAAAGGTTGCAGAGCAGTCAGGATGCGGAGGAGGGTCGGGCACAGGATACGGATGGGAAAGAGTAGGACAGAAATGTGGACCCCAAGATTTAAGGATGGCAGAGGGCCCAGGAAGGCGGCAAATTGGAAGGGTGGACGCCAACCCACCAAGGATGAGGATGGCGGAGGGGAGGGGATGCAGTCACCAGGATGCGGTTGTTGGATGTTTGGCTCGAGGATAGAAATTGGGGGGGGGGGAGGTCGTATCCAACCGACAGGATGCATGCCCACCCCCCTCAGGATGTGAGGATGGAGCACCGCTCTGTGCCCCTCCTGTAAGCACACGAAACGCGGCATACCAGCTGCAGAAGTGCGGCAAAGTTCATGCACAGAGCCATAGCGATTGGGGCGGATTTGAAGCAAGGATCAGCGCGCTGTATTTGGCGATGGCCTCTCCCTTGGTGCTGTTTATTGGTATCCCGCTGGCCTTGCTTACGCGCTGCGAATCCATTCCTTTGACCTTCACCCAGACGCCAGATCGCTCATGTTCCATCCTCCCCGTCTGCCATTGCAGGACAATGATCCAGCGGCCTTCATATATGGTGACCGTATGATTTCCATGCTCGCCACCACCCCACCACTCACTCAGACAAACCTGACAGCCTACAGACTTGTCGTGTATGGTGGATTATGGGTGGACTCCGACATCCTCAGGGTGTACCTCTGCCGTTATGAGGCATCTCCCAAAGAATGCCCCTCCCTAGCATCACTCTTTGTACAGCGGCCACCACCACCGAGCCCACCGCCACCAGCAAAGCGTCGGAACCCAGTAACGGCCGGCCCGGCCCCCGCCAGCACCGTTAACAACGTTGCTGCATCAGGGCCGGTGACGGTGTCTGGCGAGCTCGTTTTCGTGGCGACCCATTCGGAGCAAACAGCACAATGGGCCATCCGTCAGGACGACGGCTCCCTGATACCCATCGAGCTCGGCTATGGGGCCCCCAAGACTGATGACGTTGGACAGCCCATCTCGCCGGGGGCGCTGGTGACAATCGTGAGTTTTTTTTGTGTGTGTGTGTGTGTGTGCGCGCGTGTGTGTATGTGCGCGTGTGTGTGTGTGTGTGTGTGTGTGTGTGTGTGAGTGAGTTACATGGTCGTGGGTTGGGTACCCCGTACCTGCAAACCGCCCAATGCGAGCCAATGGTTCAAGGGCTACCAGGTTGCCCATATGCACCATCCTACCTCGCACTTCAGACAAAGCAAGTGATAGGGGAGACTAACGACCAAAGGGGACGATACAGTTGCGGTGGGACCACAAACGTTCTCACTTCATCTTCCCCAGACGTTCAGGTTCCCACTTCATAGTGTCCTTCATACGCTCAAAGCTTGGGAAATACATATCAGACCTGATTTCGCCGCACGCTGGACAGTCCAGCAAGACGTGCTTCTCATCTTGAGGTCCCGTGTGTAAGAGGGATCAGCTCCCCTGGCATCTCCCAACTGAGTACTCTTTGCTCCATTCCCTACTCGGAAATATCTTAAGTCCTGAGCCAGGCTCTTACACCGTGCCACAGCGGGGGCATACCCGCTCCCCCCTAGGTACATAACGCCGTCCCTTGCGCGTACTGCTCACCGCCAACGCCCAACAGCAAAGCCCAAACTGCATAAGCTTACAATTCGCTGAACGCGGGATACATAATGTAATCATAAGCGGGCACCTCTGTAGCAGCTGACCGCTGAAAAGGTCTCTCGAGTTGCTGGCGGTCGCGCTCTGCGCGTATTTATAGCACCGTACTGTGTACCGGCTGCGACAACCTCCTTCTCGCCCGCTTGTGTTGTCGTGTTACGAATGTACCTTGCACGTTTTCTCTCGACATCCCATCATCTATGTTCAACTAGAGGTATACATAATTGACAGGCGTACGGGGGGCACATAGATAACGTTGAAAACGGAACTACCTTTAGTTTTACCCCCGGGCCGCAGGCTTGAGCTTTCGATAGTGAGTATTGCAGGCCCTGTGCTTGGCGCCACCGGGCTGCTGCTGCTTTTGCCTGTAATCCGTTTCTGCAGCCGCCCTAGACATACAGGGACACATCAAGCTCTGCTTACCTTCGCCGCCCCTTTTTTTCCTGTCGCAGTCGTGCAATATTGATGCCCTTGGCAACTGCAAGCCCGTGCCAAGCTCCAAGACTGTCGTCTTGTCGGCGCAGCCCGCTTTCTTGCCTGACAACCAAGTGATATACCAGCGGATGCTCGTCATAGTTCTAGATTACTCCACCTGTGGTGTATCCGCCGCAATCAACGGGACAACTCTGCGCTCAATCTTCTTGGGACCAAATGGCGACGGCAGCGGCGGTATTGCGGAGAAATACAGACAATGCTCATACGGCAAGCTCAAACTGAATACAACAGCATTCAAAGTAATAAACGTGAAGGCTGACTGCACAGACGGGGTCGTGCAGTCATGCAATTGGTTGAACATGGGCCGGACTGGCGATACCGGAGCGAAGGCGTTGCTAGGAAGCACGGCTTTTGCAGAGTTTACCCACTTTGCGTACATACCTCCTCCACAAGTGCCTTGTGGCTGGGTCGACTTTGGCTATGCGGTCTTACCTGGAAATAGAATCTGGCTATCGAGCAAGAAAGATGGCGTGTACAACTGGGCCACAGTCATGGAGAAGTCCCTCCATAACTACGGTGAGACAAAATAATAAATACTAAAATAAACTATAACAATACGCCTCATCCTGGACTAAGGCGTGTATTAAGTGGGCAGGGGTGGAGAGGGTATGGTTTTTCCCCATAGCCCAGCACCTCCCGCCACCGTTTCGTGAGGCACACAGTAGGCCAAGTTGTTGCATACAATAAGGTGGCAAAAGAACATTCCCGGTTTGTATGCACGTCGTTTGATTGACACCTCTGCAAACTCGAAGCGGGTCGAACCTACAAAATGTTCTGCACCTGAGCGGTGTGGCTGTTGTCTCAAACAAAAGCAGAAACAATCATGTCGATCTGCCACGTGTGCTTGCTTGCCCCTATCCAGGCCTTTGGCACTCCTGGAAGGATGGCATTGAGTACAATGACGAGACGACTGTGATGGGCAGGGGGCTCACCTGCCCCAATGCTGCCGAGCTGGCATACCTGGGCTGGGCCACACCCGCACCAGGCGGTGATCGTATTGACTCCACACGACTGCGTGTAGGAGCCACCCTCACCTTCAGCCTGCCCGCCACCTACCTATCCCCGGACGGAAACTACCTCCGGGTCGTTCCCGACTGGCTGCCATCGTACAGCAACAAAACCCTGGCCAAGAACCTGTACATCGCCGTCCGAGTCAACAAGGGCGGCGATGCTCTGCTGGATAAGACATTGTACGCAAACAGGGTGCATATCCACGAACTTAACGCGGCGAAGGTGGGTTGACTGTGGTCCTGCTTGGGTCTGCAACTGCGTATAATAGCTGCTGCTGTCAGAGCCCACTGGGGACCTAGGAATAGCGATCATACCGACCGATAATGGATGCCTTGATAAATACTGGGGGGTTCCCTTTGGGCTTTCAGTCGCTTGCAATCCTTCCCTGCAGGGGCGCGGATGAGATGCCGGTAAATGGGGAATCATGTTTTACAGTAGGGAATTACCCTTTCAGGCAAGGATTTTATGTATCACAGATCTGACCGCATACAGGCAGAGTTGCACGGGATTAATGCAGACCTGGCCGTATTCATGTACTGCTGTAACCACATACGATGTAAGGGAGATAGTTGCATGCATGCATTCATGCATGTTACCGCTGTGGTTTATCGCAGTATTCTTGGCGTATCACGGGATCTGCATCCACCGTTCGGCATCCACCGTTGCATCCACCGTTCGGTCTTTTTCTGGAAAAGTCGTGATATAACAGTTTTATTCGCCTCGAGGATAAAACCAACGACCAGCACATCCATCGCATCTCCTGTCCTAGCATCTTTCTGTAAATTTCGCCCAAGGCCTCTCCCTCAAACCTGGCCATGTATAGCAGGCCGTCCCTCCTACATCGCCGTGCTTAATGTCATCACCTTGCTGTTCACCCCTGCCTCCCCTCATCATCTATGCACCAGGATAATGCATTTCCGGAGCTTGACCTTTACTTAGACCGCAAAATTTCCTACCTCACAGCCATCACACCTCTTAGTCAAGTGACGTTGACAACATACAAGCTTGTCGTGTACGGCGGATCCTGGGTGGGTACGGACGTCCTCAGGGTGCACCTCTGCCACTACAAGTCTTCACCCCAAGACTGCCCCTCCGTTCAGTTCCTTGAGCTGAGCCCTCCACCGCCGAGTCCGCAGCCATCACCGCCGCCGCCGAAGCCGTCGAGCAAGCAAGTGGGCCCGGTAAAACCCCGGAAGCGGCCCCCGCGCCGCGATACAGCCACGGGTGCTTCTGCAGCTACAATAGTCGACGTGTCAGGCGAGCTCGTCCTCCTGAACTCCCACCTGGCGCCTCAGTGGACCATCCGCAAAAGCGACGGCTCCCTGGTACCCATCGCCTTGGGATACGAGCCCCCCACTATGGACAATCTCGGACAGGCCATTTCACCGGGAGCTCTGGTGACTATTGTAAGTTGTGTGGTGGGGGCCTACCTGGTGATAGGTTTATATAACTTACTGTGGTCGGTGTACACAATGCGCCATCATATAGACAAGGTAGTCAGTGACGGCTTGCTCACTCTTAGGAGTGATCAGCTCCCCTTGGCATCTCCCGCGGGTACTCCTTGCCTGGTGTTACACTCTATGCCTGTTTTTGAAATGCCGGTGTCCGTCATACAAGTTCGCGGCTACTTAGGTATGATACGGGCTATCGGGCTTTATGATTAGTTTCTGAGGCTCACCGGGAAGATATGCATGGGGAACAGGGGGAGAAGCGGGAAGGGGCGTGGCATGTGCATGAAGGGCATGGCAAGTCTATCCCAGGGAAGGGATGGGTGGGAAAGCACAGCTACGACTTTCCGTCTTTCCCCTTACCCTTGTTTGGGTCACAAAAGGTTCAGATAACTACACAAATGCTCCATAAACAAAAAATAAAGGTGTGTGCATGTGCTGCGCGCCTCACCGTGTGAGGTAGAGAAAAGATAGTCCACTCGCTTTCTATCTTAAGTGTTAGAAATAGCATAGCGCCAGAACCCCTCGGGTCCTAATGCTGCTGTCGCATTCCGCTGGTATATGAGTGTCGGTCACTTTCCAATTAAGGAGCCTCAGGCTGTGTCGGGGCACCAGGCAAGGACCTCATTGATGGTATGAGTGGGCATACATCAGATGCCACAGGATGGGTGCATCTATTATGCCATGGCACGATCTATCTATTAAGACCAATCTACACCATGAATCTGCATTCAATCTATTTCTCACTCCTATCGTTCATACGATTAACCTGTCTATAGACGATAAAACAATTTCCGATGGATGTGACCTGGGACTGGCAACCTGGGGGATGATGGACTGATGCCGCATATGATGCATGGCCTAAATGCATCATATGATTATGATGACACCTGAGGGACTCTAAAATGGCCTTGACTAATGGGAATAAAAGTTGCATGACACATCATCGACACACTCATCAGCAGTCCTTCAGGGCACCGGTAAGCAAAGAGCACACCGACCCCTAGTTGGGCAGGCCCCGGCATGAAGCACCCAGGAGGGCCCCGACCTGTAGGATTGCCCATTCCGTGTGGCCATGTGGCCGTGTGGCCGTGTGGCCGTGTGGCCGTGTCGCCGTGTGGCCGTGTGGCCGTGTGGCCGTGTGGCCGTGTGGCCGTGTGGCCGTGTGGCCGTGTGGCTGTGTGGCCGTGTGGCCGTGTGGCCATGTGGCCGTGTGGACATGTGGCCGTGTGGCCGTGTGGCCGTGTGGCCGTGTGGCCGTGTGGCCATCTGGCCATGTGGCCGTGTGGCTGTGTGGCCCTGTGGCCGTGTGGCCGTGTGGCCATGTGGCCATGTGGCCGTGTGGCCGTGTGGCCATGTGGCTGTGTGGCCGTGTGGCCATGTGGCCATGTGGCCGTGTGGCCGTGTGGCCATGTGGCTGTGTGGCCGTGTGGCCATGTGGCCATGTGGCCGTGTGGCCGTGTGGCCGTGTGGCCGTGTGGCCGTGTGGCCGTGTGGCCGTGTGGCCGCGTGGCCGTGTGGCCGTGTGGCCGTGTGGCCGTGTGGCCGTGTGGCCATGTGGCCGTGTGGCCGTGTGGCCATGTGGCCGTGTGGCCATGTGGCCGTGTGGCCGTGTGGCCGTGTGGCCGTGTGGCCGTGTGGCCGTGTGGCCGTGTGGCCGTGTGGCCATGTGGCCATGTGGCCGTGTGGCCGTGTGGCCGTGTGGCCGTGTGGCCCTGTGGCCCTGTGGCCCTGTGGCCCTGTGGCCCTGTGGCCCTGTGGCCCTGTGGCCCTGTGGCCCTGTGGCCCTGTGGCCCTGTGGCCCTGTGGCCCTGTGGCCCTGTGGCCCTGTGGCCCTGTGGCCCTGTGGCCCTGTGGCCCTGTGGCCCTGTGGCCATGTGGCCATGTGGCCATGTGGCCATGTGGCCGTGTGGCCATGTGGCCGTGTGGCCATGTGGCCATGTGGCCATCGATGCAGGCAGCCCTCGAGACCCGACTTGTTTTTCCTAACTGGTCCAGTAAGGTGTCTGTCAGAATTCTTTATGATTTCCTAATAAGGACTTGCACAAACACAGATGAATGTAGAAGTGTGAGCAAATGTGTTATAATGGCCTCAGCCGCGATGGGGGATATATACATGGCTATATATACAGGTCAGGCACAACTGGTAAGGCACGGACGATTGCCCCCGGGGGGAGATCCCGCGATGGAGAGCTGTCAGGGTCGAGAATCCTACCAATGGTGGAAGGCAAAGTGCCCTAAGTCGATGGACGGTGGTGACCTGGGATAAAGTTGACTAACGAGCAGAATGGAGTTGGCCGGCCGATTCCGTTGGATGCTGGTGGTGGTGGGTGCGGAATCTAAGCGATCCACTGAGAAGTTGACTAGGTTGAATAACTGAGGGTGGCCCGAAATACCGGGGAAGGCAGGGTTTCGCCGGGTTGCGGTCACGGGTGAAGATATGCCCCCCTGTCCCACACATCATACATGGCGATGGTTGTATACGAATAACTTTACGAAGCAAGCGCTAAACGATGTAGACGTGATAGAATTTCATTGAAAATAAGTATTTTTTTCTAAGAGTTATTAAGTCGATGTTGATTGCAAGGGTGATTCCAAAGCCAGTAGAAATAAGCGGCGCTGCCGTGGCGAAAGGCGACTGGGCCGTCAGCTTGAACTGACTACGGACAACAATCGCGAGGGGGCCTAAGATCCCAACTCGATAGCACCTAATACCATATGTCTCAGCGTTTCACGAGATTTTCAGCAGCAATTGATTACTCGCTGCAGCTGACGGTGGCAACTACTGTACGGCTGCGGACATATACAACAATTTATTCTGCGAGCGAGTTATGGTCTTCATTACAATTGTAGTTCAGCAGCTCTCGTTTAACCATTTCTGTTCGCCATCACGCAAGAGCTCCTGCCTCCTTTATTGTCAGACGCGACTTCACCATTTCCCTTACGCTGCCCCTTCATTCCCTCCTCAACGCTCTTCTTAATTTTGTAGTCGTGTTTCATTGACAACCTGGATGGCGTCTGCAATCCAGTTCCGGGCTACAGCACTATCGCCTTATCTTCACAGCCCTTGCTCTTGCCAGGCACCGGCACAGTAAATCAGCGCTTACTAGTGATCATAATGGATTACTCACCTTGCAGCCTGTCACCTTCGATAAGTGAAGCCACAGTTCGCACGATCTTCCTGGGTTCCAACGGTGATGGCAAGAGTGGCGTCGCACGGACATACACACGGTGCTCGCACGGGAAATTGAACCTTAACTCCACGGCATTTAAGGTGGTTGTCGTGAGGAACAACTGCACGGCCTCGGTGACGAAGTCGTGTGCCTATTGGGACATTGCCAAGGACGGGGACACCAGAGCGAAGGAGCTACTGGGAGATGTTGTGTTTTCGAGCTTCACCAATCGGGCGTACATTCTTCCACCAGGAATGAACATGGTGTGCCCCTGGCCGGGTCTGGCACTCGTTCCGGGGACACAGATGTGGCTGCAGACCTCGGCCTATGGTGTTTACCAGGTATCCACAATCATGCAACAGACAGTCCATAACTACGGTAAGACAGCTTAAAGGATTGCCGCCTTGAGTGAATGATTGTTTGTATATATACTGCTTCGGCACAACTGCTGCAATTAGGGAAGTACTGAGAAGGTTGAATTTTGCACGGGCTCTGCACAAGGATGCATGATACACACACAGACACAGACACACACACAGACACACACACACAGACACACACACACAGACACACACACAGACACACACACAGACACACACACACACAGACACACACACATGCACACACACAGACACGCACACACACAGACACACACACACACACACACACACGCACACACACAAAAAATGATTTTGATGGGTCGGTCGAAATTCGTGTGAAATGTTGTGCCACCTAACTTTTAAGCCAGTGGACAGAAGCCTCTAATCCTCTCCCCCATTTCTATGTACGCACGCCCATGTTTGCCTGCCCAAACCCACCACCAGGTCTCTGGCACTCTTGGCAGAATGGCTGGGAGTATGCTGACCGTTCCACCCCCATGGGCACCGGAAATACCTGCCTCAATGCCCCCGAAATGGCATACATGGGCTGGGCCACACCTGCACCAGGCGGTGGTCGTATTGACTCAGAAGCACTGCCAGTGGGCACTGCTCTCACATTCAGCCTGCCAGCCACCTATTTATCCCCGGAGGAGAACTACATTCGGGTTGCTCCTGACTGGCTAACGTCGTACAGAAGCAGCTCCGTAGCCACGAACCTGTACATTGCCGTACGAGTCAACAAGAGTGGGGACGCGTTATTGCCATCATTCTATGCGAACAAAGTGAATATTCACGAAGTGAACGCGTCCCTGGTAAGCCTATTGCATGTCTTGATATGCTTATTAGGGATACTGCTGCCTGACAGATGACAGCAGCAGGTCCTTGTTGTGAGCATGTTCACTGCTCCCCCCTGCTTGCTTGTACACGTTCTGGGCTCTGTTTTTATCCAAGTCGCCGCTTATAACATTGGGCAACTGCCCTGAGCTGGGGCTCTCCTCATGCAGGACAATAATTGGAGTAGTACCTCCATCTACACGGACCGTAAAATTTCCTTTATCAGCGCCGTCACGCCCTTCAGTCGAGCGAACATGATTGCCTACAAGATTATTGTGTACGGCGGATCCTGGGTTGGCGGTAAAGACGTCCTCAGAGTGCACCTCTGCCGCTACAGGTCTAGCCCTGACGAGTGTCCATCTCTTAATTTCCTGGAGGCGCGTACCTTACCTCCGCCAAGACCACCAAAGCCGCCGTCACCCACCCCGCCATCATTGCCGCCAAGGCCATCACCTCCGTTGCCGCCTAAGCCTCGATCGCCTCCCAGCACTCGAATGCCACCTAGACCGCCCAGGCCGCCACCCCCGAGCCCAACTCATCCCCCCCCCAACTCCCCCCCCATTGTCTCCTAGTCCACGACCCGCACCAAGCCCTCGGCTGCCACCATCACCGAAGCCCCCCGCTCCCAGGCCATTCCCCAAGCCGCCCAGCCCACCTCGCAACCGTGTGGACAGCCCGCCACCACAGCACACCTCTTCACCACCATCACGCAAGGTTTAGAGAGCATGCAAATCTCTCAGCATGTGTGTCACAACAGGATGCGTGGTTTGGACTTCGTTTGCAAGGATGCTGTAGGTGCAGTGTAGAGCTTAGGATGGAGCAATGTTTGGGTTTCTTTGCATGAGTGTGCATGAGTGGAATATAGTCTTCCTTGTTTGCTCTATTTACAATCCAAGTCTTCCAGGTTTGAGACGCAGTTTTAGTTTTAATAAGACCAGTCCGGTTACCCAGGTGCAGAACTTTATCCTGTTGCCCCAAATAAAACTCAAATAAAACTTAGAGTGATGGTGTGTCCAGGGATGTAGGTATAGCCTCTACGTTCTGGAGTGGAAAGCAACTATACATGGGTTTGGCACTACTGGTAAGGCGCAACCATTGCCCCCGGGAGATCCCGGGATCGATATTCATTAGGGTCAAAAATCCTTCCGATGGTGGAAGGCATTGCGCCCCTAGTTGATGGACGGTGGTGACCTGGGATATAGTTAACCTGCGAGCCGACCAGGAATGGAGTTGGGCCGCTGTCGACCCGGCAGATTCCGTTGGATGCTGGTGGTGGGTGCGGAACCTGAGCGATCCACTGAGAAGTTGACTAGGGTGACTGGATGAGGGTGCCCCGAAATACCGGGGAAGGCAGGGTTTCGCAGGGTAGCTGCCACGGGCGAAGATACACCCCCCTGTTTCACACATCATACATGTTCCGCATACATGTTCCTGCAGCTGCAGCTGGGGCCCCAAATTCGAATCCCACTGCAGGTCTCGTATGTAAGTAGTGTGCTACAATAAAAGCAACAGAGATATTAGCTATATAGATGAACATTATGCGGTGGTCACGCACTGTCCTCACCAGTACTAGTGCCATGTGCTTCATGCATATCTTCCACTGTACGACCGGGTCTGCGACTTTGCTGCATATCGGTGCTCATGGCGTACTGAACGTCAATACGGATAGGCATGCCACTACATTTGCAAATGCAATGGATGTCGTATATCACGGCACACAAATCGTTGTTAGTTATGTGTTAAGGTGCTCTGCCAGCAACTTGCTTGAGAAGCCTTGCTTTTCAGCGGCCAGCAGCTACTGCCAGTAATCATCTTCCATAAACAGGGTTCACGTTTCATATTTGGGACAGGCAGATATCCGGCGAGGCGGAACGGGTGGTATATATATGTTGAGCTGGTATGGACGCTTGCATCCAGCCTTAGCGGGCTCCACTGAGGTTGTGCAGGTAATGGTTGGTGCTGCCGCTGAATGCCATGGCAGACGCACGGCTGAGACAGCTGTTGCTACATGAGGGTTACCAGGTCATTTATTACGATACATAATAATACGGCTAGAATTACGGCCGGTTTGCAGGTTCCGATTGCTAATTCCATGGCCAGTGAATACGGTGGTGCAGTGGTGGTGGTGCACGGAACATGAAGACAGAAGTCCACTCGGATTTTGGCGAGCACCTATTACCCTGTCGCACTCAATAATCGGCTGACCAGGCGAGCCAGGGACGCAGGTCCCAGCTTCACTCAGGTAAAGCCCCCGCCCATACACAGGTATGGACTTCCGCAGCAGTGCGGCATTTACAGTAGGCCGCGAACTCGACCAACAGTACTTGCAAGCCGCCGGTGAAATAGCAACAGATTCTAGGATGAGACAGTCCTGTACACATAGGCTGTAAATGTAAACAGGTTTTAGTTAGACACAACAGGGGTTATGAAGACCCAACAGTTGGGACCTCCAACCGACAGATAGCTAGGCAAACAGAGCCACGAGCTTAACAAAATATCTTACAGGATACAACATCTCGATAGCACACACGGCTCGTCGTCTGTAAATACTTTGGTCGTCTATAGATCGCATTTTGTTCTAGTAGGATGTGACGGTCCACACCTAGTGTACCAGCGCACCATCTACACACAATCAAAACGTTTATTACAGGCGGTTCGCAAGACAGCAGGTATCTTAAGGTATGATGCATTTCAGATGTCCTAAATGAAAACCACATTATTGTTTTTTGTTTGTTTTTCTTTGTATTCTTATTCAATGTGGCATAGTGAAGCAAGGACAGCCGGCGCCGGCCGTCAATGCACCGAGTAACAAGCCAGCAGCGCCCGGTTGGCATGTAGGTGTGCGTAAAAAGGAGGAAGCATTCTAAGAGCACAAACCCCTACTCTGTACATGATATGTGACTATTACGTATAGCGCATAGCGGCTTTTTGCAACCCAATGACGATGCAAGTGGCCGTGCGTGTGCATTCTCGCTGTCGTGGTATGCATAATAGCTTAGCCACCAATGCCCCCGGGAAATCCTGGGACCGAGACCTGTCAGGGTCGAAAAACCTCCGATAGTGGAAGGTAAAGTGCCCCTAGTCGATAGACGGTGATGACCTGGGATACAGTTCACTTGCGAGCTGACCAGGAATAGAGTTGAGCTCCCGTCGATCCAGCAGATTCCGGTGGTGGGTGTGGAACCTGAGCAATCCACTGAGAAGTCGACTAGGGTGACTAGATGAGGGTGCCCCGAAATACCGGGGAAGGCAGGGTTTCGCCGGATAGCGACCACGGGTGAAGATATGCCCCCCTGTCCCACACATCATACATATCACACTACGGCAAACACTTTCACACTGAACATGGCATGATCGGAGGCTCCACAGAGCAGCTAACCCTTGTCATGCATGCATGAATTATTTTCAACACTATGTCATGAGTGCTGCTAGGTGGATGGATTGCTTGCTGCTGTCCGGTCCTGCCCTACAACAGGCGGCGGATTACGCACACACGTTTCATATTCCGCATAAATATTTATACGGAACATTTTTATTTTTATTTTCTATTTTGCGTAAAAATTGTATTAATACAATATATATTATTATATAATCCATTCGTTGTAACAGCGTTCTTGTTTTTCCTGCCGCCCCCTCTGTTACCCGGACCTCTATCCCTTGGACCCTAAAATCGAGGCACAAGCGAGGCCAGCAGTTCAGCTCAAGGCTTTAAAGCCTTATATACCAAATATGGTACTATATCATTAAAAACGTCAGATTTCCGTCTGGAATATCGATACTACCTATAGCTATTTGAAGACCCTATCCATATATTATACCATGGCATGGTCTATAGACCACATTAACCACATAAAGATGTACAGACGTGCGTCCAATAATGGATGGAAAATATCTTCCGCCCAGTAAGGGCGGCGGCTTAATAAGCGTTTTTTGACGTTTTTGTGTTACAAGCTTTCGAGCTTGTACGGTCCAAACGAGCCAAGAGGCTCATGAACCGCCGAACTGGAAACAAGAACATATAAAGGTAGTAAATTAACCTTACTGTAAAACAAATTTAATCATCAATAAATTGTAACCTGCATCTTCTGATATGATCCAAAACATGTGCTAGTCCGCGTTGGTTCTCAACGCCCATAACGTCTATCATGCGGTCCTCAGGAGACACTCCAAGCTCAAATAACTTGGTGCGAATATCCGCGTACGCAGGGCACTCAAGCAAAACATGACGCTCGTCCTCAACTGCTTGACGGTTCCCACATACACGACACCACCGCGCTGCTCTTTCCCTGCCATGAGGACGATTCACTGCAAGCGGCCACACACACATCCTAAAACGCATCAGCGTGACATGTTGCTTCGGCGAAATATATCCAGTGCAGTGCTTAGGCAACCCCATCCACTGCTTGTACCGGCACATTTTTGGGCGGGGCCCCAGCGCGAAGCGCCCAGGGGGGCCCCGACCTGTAGGATTGCCCATGTCCGTGTGTGTGTGTGTGTGTGTGTGTGTGTGTGTGTGTGTGTGTGTGTGTAACGGACCAAACATAATATCTCGCCCGCCTGAAACGCGTTATAGGTACTATACAGCATTCTCTATTGCAAGGTATTTCGCATGTAGCCAACAAAAATCGTATGAGCACAAACAAGTTTGGCTGCCTCAATTGACCGAGGCCAAAAGTCACATCAACGCCTCTCGAGCTAAATTTCATCTCAAAAGGTACCGCGTATCTCATATTTGAATTCTTAGATGACGGCGTATGATAACTCGAACTCCCAGGCCTTGAGTGTGTAACGGACCAAACATAATATTTCACCCGGCTGAAACGCGTTATCGGTACTATACAGCATTCTCTATTGCAAGGTATCTCGCATGTAGCTAACAAAGACCGTATGAGCACAAACAAGTTTAGCTGCCTCCATTCACCGACCTCAAAAGTCACATCAACGCCTCTCGCGCTAAATTTCATCCCGAAAGCTGCCGCGTATCTCATAATGGAATTCTGAGATGACGGCGTATGATAACTCGAACACCCAGCTTGCGTTACCATTTGCCGGCATGGGCAATCCGACTTGCCACCAGCAGGCCAACATAATTTGCTTTCACTTCTCTATGAAATACACAAGCTGCTTGTTTGTATATTTACTTTGGCCAATGCACGGGGCCTCCGAAGGCTTGCGGTGTGCCGCGATGAAGCTCGCGGCTGTGGGGCGGATTGCTGAGGCCGCTGGCGCTTCGGGGATAAACATCACAGACAGCACCGAACTTCACTCAGCTTGCGTTACCAATTTGCCCGCACGGGCATTCCGACTTGCGGTCTGCCGCACTGTCCATGCGGCATGCACCCGGGATGGATGCGATTCGCGTGGAGCGCGCAGGCGGTGCTGACGATTCCGCCGGTGCAAGCTTAGCTCCCACACCATCAGTACTGCTGCAACAAAGCACATCTCCCACCGCAGTGACACTACCCATCAATTGTCACACGTGCCGTGCTAGCTACCGGCCTGTACGGATGCAGGGGGGGCCCGCCCTTTTTCCGGCTTCGAGGAAGCCGACACCCGACTTGTCACCCCTGGTTGTTTGTTGTCGGAAACAAATGTCCTAGGATCCATTTCTAGTCGCTCACTCTCCCAATCGTCATCAAATCGCCCGCGTAACTCCTGCATCAACTGGCCTATATCCAACGAACATGACGTGAGCGCATCAACTCTAGCCTCAACATCCTCATCACCCGCCATGTCATGACCAAGAATCTCGAGTATCTTCAGAACCTTCGAACCCCAACCATCGTACGCCATGGATGAAATTAAAGCCAAACGTATCTCCTCTCTGAAGCAATGATGGTACACGGTGCCCTTCGCCTTAACCAGCTTATTCCAAAAACGGAATATCAGATTCGCCCAGTGAACTTGCAAGGGATATTGCCCCAACTCCCTAAACAACAGTCGATTCGTGGGAAGCCCCGCACCACCCAGTTGCTTTAGGAAGGTCTTCTGCAATTCGACCATCCTGTCCTGTAGCGAGTTATCGAAGTAACACGAGCGCGGTTCCTGGTTACGAGGATATCCTCTTTCCAGCACATCTAGAACCTTGGTCGGACCCCACACCTGCACTCCGTACGACAAAATGGATAGTACTTGTGCGTCAAACGCCTTCACCGAAACAGCTGGGACAAACAATCCCTGCCTCTTAAGCTTGGTAGTCAACGAGAAAAGCGCCCTTTGCCCTGACGCAAATAGTTCGTCTGTGCATGATTCAAACGGCACACCTGGCCCGTAGTGTAGGCCCAAATATCGTGCGCGTTCCTTCCATGGTAATGACCGAACCACGTGCCCAGCGCTCTCTTTAACGCTCATGGTGACCAGCCCGTACGAACCCAGGGTATACATGGCCTTACAGACACGTACTGTAACGCCTTGGCTCACCGGGCCAACGGTCATCCGTACCAACGGTACGCCCAAGAAATATTTATGAACTTCCAATACCAAACGGTATGTTTATCAATACCACAACTTCGTTGGATCAAATATCTTCGTAACTAGCTGTGCCAACTGCCAGGCTTTGTTACACGTACGCTCTGCAACTCAAAATCTCTATTGTCGTTTTGTTCCTTGCTGTCGTTCCTAAGTAAAAAACATGAGAATGAGCTCATGCACGCGTGCATGCCAGGGTAAGCGTCTGTAAATATTTTTTCGTCCATAGATTGTACCCTGGTATATTATTTGGGGGTCGTCACGATTCATTATACCAGTTATCGATCTATATATCGTCTATATAGACGATATAACATTTTGCAGACGAAAGCGGGGCAGGATATCTACCGTTCGACGGACGATTGTCAGTTAATCCGTTTTGCACAAGTGCGTCCAGCTAGGATTCGCCACTAACGCTCGCGCTTCTTAAGTAGATCCTGTTAATATATATCCGCATGTAGCTGATGTGATGCCATGCGCTCGACGGCGCGAGGTGCTGCGAGTAATGTAGGACAAGGCATGTATTGCCTTATCATGCTCGCTGTTGCGCGTGGAATATCGTACGCGGCGGCCGACGGGCATAGAATTAGCGCATCGGTACGCAGGGAATCAGATTCAGAGCTCTGCAGCTTGACTGGCGCTTGCGTGTGCTTTTATTGAACACCATCCCAAAGGTGCTAGATTGAGGTGCTAGATCTAGCAACAGCCGCATGAAGCGAGCGATTCGAATTTAAGGCTCGATGCCGCATCTAACCAAATTCACTGCATTTATTCGTATCTGACATTATATCTGATGGTTATAGATAGAGGTAACCAATAAGTATTTGTAGTTACGTCACGCTATTCGAATAGCGCCCATACTAGTGTCTCATATCTCAGGAACGTTGACATTTGGTTTACGTTATGTACGTCCCACTTACTTGGTTTATGTTAATCATCTATCCTACAAAAAGTAAATCTGCATGGTGGTTACTGAATGTGGAACGGACCCAACGGATGGACAGAACGACTGGACGCTTCGGATCACGTTCGCACCGCCCCGCTCGGATGGAAACCAGCAATTGGTTATGCACGCTCAAAAGACACTCCTGTACTGTGGCCCCTAACGAATCCACGACAAAAACAATGCACACTAGCAAAGGTATGGTATTATTGTGTTCAGACGGCTCTTATTGCGCGCAAGCGAAAGCAAGCGCAGTCTTCGCACTTTCGTGCGTGAGGCGGATGCAATAATAAGGCACAGCGACAACGGCAAACGACATCCTTATTGCTTGCCGTCAAACACACTTTTCCAGGTATATTACTTGGATGTTTTGAGTAGGGATAGGATACCAGCAGCCCTCTAAACACCAATGGTTGCCCTTTTCACTGAAATGGCTCCATTTCGTCGGCTGGCTGTATATGTTGTTGTTACAGAGTGGGAGGCTTCTGGGCCACTTGAACACATATATATGTAAAAACAGCAGTCTCTCCTTTGCTTCCGTCGCTCCCGTGCATCGGCGGGTCATAAGGCTTGAAATTTGCCGTGAACCGCAGGGGGCACATTTAGGACACAAGCCCTAAGAAGCAATCCAGAAGGCTGCTGCCGCAAGCCGCCATGACCATGAGGCGTTTGGTGCTGCCAGCAGCCGTTTTACTGCTGCTGTTGATGACGGCGTCGGGAGGTACGTATCTAGGGCCCTACATACCAGTTTCCTTCCCCGGGGACACACGCGCGTGTTGAAACCATTGCCTTTAACCTGCAGGATTGCGTTACCAACAAACGAAATTTATTTCGGAAATTGTCTACTGCGCCAGTAAAAATTAAGAAGAATTCGATCACCTATAGGCGAGACACTCTCGTGTACTAAATAGATAGGGGCTACATGTGATTGGAAGTTTTATTGACATGACTGCCTGGGAAAACAGTACAGCGAGGCAGGATGATTGCCCCCCGCCGTGGAACGCTTTACATATTCGGCTAGTACATATCATATGTCATGATAACTTGCGATGAAAGTCAGCAGTTTGGTTGTCCTGCCTCTGACTCTGATGAAGCAACGATATTGGTAGGTAGCTCTGCTTGGTTAGACTGAAGAGAAACTGTGAATGCTTTAGGCCCGCCAAAGCATGCTATGGTAGCATTACGACATTTAGACGTTACTTTGTCTCCTGCCTCCATGGCTACTGCTGCGCAACCATGCATGCCACAGGTTTTTGCCAGGACGTTGATGAGGCCACTGAGTCCAGCAGCCCGCCTTCTGGAGGAGCCCCTCCTGAAGACGAATCCTCTGTCGTGGGCATTACCACCACAGCAGTGGATGTGTCGGGCGAGCTCCTGTTCCTAGACACCCAGTCGCAGAGCACAGGTCGATGGGCCATCCACAAGGGGGATGGCTCCCTGGTACCCATTGCGTTTGGATACGAGCCGCCCAAAACAGACGAGCTTGGACAGGCCGTCATGCTTGGAGCGCTGGTGACTATTGTAAGTGACTGCTTCACTACTGGCGATGTCTACCTATGCATACATTGATGACCTGTACATGTGCATGCACCGAACACTGTATAGACTTGCTGATGCTCACCTGATGCTCCCAAGCACTGCTTGGCTGGCTGCTGCTGGCTGGGCACCAGTTCTGCACCATGCATATGTAGGCAAGAGGTAGGTTGCCTTATCCAGCATCTTCATAAGCATGCATGGTGGTCACTTGCCTTTTCCTAACTGATCATAACAAGCTTTCTGAACCACCTCTCTGCCCTTGCATTACCTGCGCTAATCTCCACTGAAGCTGCCAATTTGCAAATGTTCCTGGTCCTTTCCTTTGCTTCTCAATACGCACGCCCGAACCTGCACTGCCCTACCTCTGCTGAGTGACTGCCCTAACATGTCCTTATATTGCCTGCCTTTCGCAATAATCTGCCCCTGCCAGCTTGTCTCCACTCATCTTCCGTAGTTCTGCCTAAGGGTGCTACAACTTAGCCAAATAATAAAATGTAGTCAACTGCTAGTTTGGCTTCACTGTTCCTGCTACTGCCGTCATACTTCGTTGACTGATCTCCATACGTATGGACAGATGAAATCGCTCTTAGGGCAAAAATTAGAAGCCAATCTTTGCCCAGTCCCTCCTTACCTATCATGCCCTATATCTTTCCCTTTCTCGCAGTCTTGTGAGATCGACATCTTTGGCGTCTGCAACCCAGCTGCTGGGGAGAGCACCCTCATCTTATCCCCACAGCCCCTGCTCTTGCCAGACACTGGAACGATCTACCAGCGCTTGCTTGTGGTCATTATCGATTACTCTGATTGCGGTCTGCCTGCATCACTAAACGAAACAGCTGCACGTTCGATGTTCCTGGGGCCCAAGGGTGACGGCAGTGGTGGTGTCGCATGGAGATACACAAAGTGCTCATATGGAAAGTTTAACTTGAATGTCACGGCATTCAATGTGGTCACCGTCAAAGGCAGCTGCGCAGGAGGTGTGTTAACCACCTGCGACGTAAGATCCATGACCTCGGACGCTGAAGCCAGAGTAAAGGCGCTGCTCCCAAAAGCCGTGCTTTCGACCTTCACCCACACGGCATACTTCGTTCCGCCCGGCCTGTCAAGAGTATGTATGTGGGGCACCATGTCAACACGGCCTGGGAATACGATCTGGGTACAGACGGGAGGCGTGCAGAGCTGGGGCACAATTATGGGAGCAGCCCTCGCAAACTATGGTGAGGCCCAACATGCCGGATTAATGAAGTGCACTCCACACCTGCAGGAAGTAAGCATAGCAACCCTTAGCACATCATTGTTACACTTAAGGAGAGACCACAGTAGCTCTCTGCCTGAGATATAAAGAGAACGGGGTGAGGTGAATCATACAGATCGTACGACTTATCCTGAGACCAGTCCGTTAGAGGACTGGATGGAAACAACACTGTCCCACAAGAGGATAATGATTATGCGGTTGTTGTGGACGGATGTGTCCGTCCGTGAAAACAAGCATTCGTTCGGCGTTATTCCTCGGCGGTTAACGACCGCCGTTAAACAACTTATTCTGCCGATGGCTGGATGTGATGGAACATCCATCCATGCATGGATAGATGCTGCTATGCAATGGAATCCGCTAAAAACTCCAAGTCAGTCCTCATATACTCGGCGGAAATCGACAGAAACCGGATTGATAGCTCTGAAGTCTTTGTCTCTTCTAGGTTGAACCAATCCAACTCCGTCTGCTGGACACCGCACCATCTATCATAAGCCCGAACATACTGAATATATATTCAGCTGCTGCACCTCCTTCCGTACTGTATGTGTATTTCGTTCCACACATACAGGTTTGCCGGGTGCAGCACAATATGGCCGCTTGTGGGACGACGCCTCCACTGCCACGGGCTCTGGTGATGCCTGCCCCAGCGCCGCCGAATTGGCCTACCTTGGCTGGGCCACACCCGCACCAGGCGGTGATCGTATTGACTCAAAAGCGCTGCCTGTAGGCACTGCTCTTAGCTTTGAACTGCCCGCCACCTACCTAACCCCCGATGGAAACTACCTTCGAGTCGTCCCTGACTGGCTGCCATCTTATCGCAATATATCCGTAGCCAAGAATCTATACATCGCCCTTCGCGCCAGGAAGGGTGGCGACGATTCACTGTCGTTGATGTACGCCAACAAAGTGAATGTTCACGAGCTCGAGGTGTTCATGGTGCGTTCGTATCATGTAAACAGGTCATTAGTACACAGGAGACCAAAGCAGTAGGCTGATAACACAGAAATCGGTGCTCACTTTCAGTACATTCCAAAGGAATTGAATAAAAGCTTCGTGTACTGCTTGGTGTGAACATACTAGCCTTAGCCTCTCCATATGAATGATGTAGTAGCTGGCCGCTGAAAAGGCCTCTCGAGATGCTGGTGGTCGTGCTTCGCGTGTATTTGTAGAGCCGTACTGTGTACCAGCTACTACAACTGGTCCAAGCTCTGTCACGGTTCTTTTTAGCATATCACCGTGCATCCCTTACTGGGCCCCGTAGTTCCCTCCCATTTGCATTCTGCGATACCTTTTGCTTCTTCGAAATCCTACAAAATTTTGTAGGATTTAAACCCAATCGTTTTAAACTCCAACGATTTAAACCCAATCGTCGGCCGTTGCTGGTGGTTGCTCCCATACCGTTCCCCCGTCCACCATTCCCACAGGAGAACAATCCAGGGGCATTCATGGGTGTTGGCCACAATATTAACTTAATCGCCATCACCCCACCACTCACTCAGACAAACCTGACAGACTACAGACTTGTCGTGTATGGTGGATTATGGGTGGACTCCGACATCCTCAGGGTGTACCTCTGCCGTTATGAGGCATCTCCCAAAGAATGCCCCTCCCTAGCGTCACTCTTTGTACAGCGGCCATCACCACCGCCCCAGGGAAAGCGTCGGAACCCAGTAACGGCCGGCCCGGCCCCCGCCAGCACCGTCAACAGCGTTGCTGAATCAGGGCCGGTGACGGTGTCTGGCGAGCTCATCTTCGTGAACACCCACTTTTTGCAAAGTGCACAGTGGGCCATCCGCCAGGACAACGGTTCACTGGTGCCTATCGCAGTCGGCGTTGAACCCCCCGTGACAGATGATCCCGGACAGACCCTGCTGGCAGGAGCGCTGGTGACTATCGTGAGTTTTAGCTTACATGTACATGATTTGCTCTGGTGACGGCAGTCCATGTTTGTTCAGGCACATGATTGGCAATGTAGGGTTGCACGGCTTGGGGGAAAGCAATCACAGATGTTGTCCTGTTAACAACGTTGTTTACGTGGTTCTGCCCCGATTTCCTTGTTGCCCATCCGATTACCAGCACACTCGATGGCATTGACGCACCTGTCGTCACTTAAGGAATAACACCGTTCACCTGCCGCCAGTGCTTGCGCTACTGCAGTGGCTGTTGCTTGCTGCAGCAAGCCAACAGCTGCTAGCTGACTTAGCATCAATAATGTACCACTAAGCAACTAGTTGTGTCGCTGCCTCCTCTGCAACTTGTAAACACAGTCGTGTGAAAGCTGGACCTACCATAGAGATGTACTACCTGGAAACATAACCTCTCACTACTCCTCCATTCCTTCCCATGCATATCGCAGTCGTGTATTATCGATGCTCTTGGCAACTGCAAGCCCGTGCCAAGCTCCAGGACTGTCGTCTTGTCGGCGCAGCCCTCTTTCTTGCCTGACAATCAAGTGATATACCAGCGGATGCTCGTCATAGTTCTAGATTACTCCACCTGTGGTCAACCCGCCACAATCAACGGGACAACTCTGCGCTCAATCTTCCTGGGACCAAATGGCGACGGCAGCGGCGGCGCCGCAGAGAAGTACAGACAATGCTCGTATGGCAAGCTCAACCTGAACACCACAGCGTTTAAAGTGATAACCGTGAATGCTGACTGTGCAGACGGGGTCTTGCAAACTTGCAGCTGGGTTTTAGCTTATAGGACTGGTGACGCTTTGGCGAAGGCGCTGTTGGGGGAGAAAGCATTTTCAGAATTTACCCATATCACATACATAATGCCGCTACGAGCGCCTTGCCCGTGGGCGGGTATGGGGCTGCGACCTGGGAACAAGATGTGGCTAACGGTCGGACGCTATGGAGTGTACAGTTTGGCCACAATCATGCAAGAGATTATCCATGGCTACGGTGAGGAGTTCGGATATGGGTTTGTTGCGTTTCCTTGTATGACGTTGCATACTGTACTACCTGTCATACAGAACGGCACACACATCAGTAGGCGCTACTAGTACTGCAGTCGCTCTTGATTCGTAAAGCGCTCTGCGAGCATGCTGAGAGGCCGCCCAGATAGTACAACATACCGAAGGAAACTACGTCATGAACATGTTTGGAGTTTGTTCGGTGGTGACAGTACAGCTTCCAAATGGAAAACAAGAATGGAAAGCATCCTGCAGGTGTACATCCTACTAGAACAGTATCCATCTACCTTAACACATTCCGCAAAGCAATCACATTTTTCTACCACACTCTTGCTCCTATGCAGGTTTATCCCATTCATGGAGGAATGGCGTTGAGTACAATGACGACACCACATTCATGGGAAATGGGGAAGCCTGCCCCAACGCGGCCGAGTTAGCCTTCCTTGGCTGGGCAACACCTGCACCAGGTGGCAACCGCATCGACTCAAAAACACTGCGACCAGGCACCAGCCTTACTTTTAGTCTACCCGCCACCTACCTATCCCCGGAAGGTAACTACCTCCGGGTCGTCCCCGACTGGTTGCCATCGTATAGTGACAGCTTTAACTCCAAGAACTTGTACATCGCCGTCCGAGTCAACAAGGGTGGCGATGCTCTGCTGGACAAGAACCTGTATGCAAACAGGGTGCATATCCACGAAGTTAATGCGACAATGGTACGTTGGTAGCGTCTTTTGATGCCACACCAGTTTCCTGGTGCTGACGCGTCGACGTGACGTACGTATCTTTTGGAATATTTTTTGATATCGCCTGCTGCGTGGGCAAAAGCTTTTATCGCCTATAGACAGGGTCATGTTATAGTGGATAGGACCAAGAAATAGATCGTACATATTCATTGTATAGGATGCTATAGATCTAAAGACCGTGCCATAATATAATAGATATGCCTAATATAGATGGCCTATAGACGATCAAAACTCTACAGTAACGTGTTACAGCCTGCACGTCCCTACGGGAAGCTTCCAGCATGCGGTCTCCTACGGTCTCAAACATAAATTTGCGTCTGATTGTCATAAGTCTTAGGCATTGGGCTCGTTCGAGTCTGGTGCGATTCATTTCAGCGTTAATGATATGCCCGCTGCGGTGTCTAGTTAGCTAGCTCGAGTCAGCAGCGGCCTAGGCCTAACTACGGTGGCCCTTGGCTTTGCTTGCACGTGCACACAAACCCAATTGCCGCAATGTCGGTGCAACTGAATGCGACAATCGTTAGATGTTAGTTGTTTTAAATAGCTGATGCATTTATATATACGGCAGCAATTTGTGTGCCAATCGGTGGTAGATTTTTCAACTGTGGTATACCACGGTGCCCTATGGCATAAAACGGGGTAAGCTTACCCACCTCCCTTCGTACATAGCCACATGGGTAACCCCTACCCCTACACCCTGGGTTACGCTTAAGGGGGGTTACTCCCCGTTTTATGCCATAGGGCACCGTGGTATACCACAGTTGAAAAATCTACCACCGATTGGCACACAAATTGCTGCCGTATATATAAATGCATCAGCTATTTAAAACAACTAACATCTAACCCCGGGGTCGGGGTATCCCCTTACCGAGGGGTAACAAAGGGGTTGGGGTAATTCACTGCTGATGGGTAACAGACAGGGTAACCCATGTTTACATTCACCTGCGCCTGTCTCGCCTGTCTGCACACGCAAACATACATGTCTTCACCAATGACTTGTGAATGCCCAATTATCAACATTGCCGCACCAAGACATGCCTTGTTTTGAAACCTAAACCTAAGGCCTTAGGACCTAGGATAAGGCACAGCTGCAGCCTAGATGCAAGGAGGCGGACGAACAGGCGTACATAGGCAGAGCAAATTGGAGACCACGAGAAGCCGCCAGCGAAGCCAATTAATATTCCTATCAAAAGATCCAGGCACTTACCGCCGCTCCGGACCCAAGACCTAAAACTCGCGGACCAGCCAACGGGCGGCGATGTAAGGTCGGCCAGTAGCTGAAGTACGTACTTAGAGCTGGAATTACCGTAGCGGAACTAAAGATTTTACAAAATAAATAATTATTTGCATGCGGTAAAATGTTTTGGCAAAATAAAGAGTCTTTCTGTAAAATCTTTAGTTCCCGGGAGGGAATTCGGAGCGATGCCGTAAAATATATATGGCCCTTCACGCACAACAGGCTTTTGGCACTACCTCTTATACTATTTTATAAAGAATATTGTAACATATCACTATATTAACCTATTTCTGGCAGCAGCATGCGCAAGCTCACCAAACACCGCTTCATTGACAAGCTGCCGGCCATACCGGCGGCTTTTGCCAGCGAAGTGCAGTTCTCAGCACCTAACACGATTACGAACTACTTCAGCAAGCTGCCAGAGGGAACCCCGCTCCCTGCACCCCCTCCGGCGCCGATCCCGATCGCACCAAAGCGCGGGCCCGGCCGTGAAGTGGCGGTGTTTAGATGGTCACGATGGCCCTTTCTTGCAGCGTCGTGAAATGCTCTCGCGTCCTTCATCAATCATGAGAATTCCGCGGCTGCTACAGAATGGTGGATGTTTGGAGGCCGTGTCACGGTGGCTTGGCTTCCAGATGGGGGTTTACAATTCGGAGATTCTTTATTTGAGACGTGTCGTGATGATTCTCATAGCCCCTAATGCGTGAGAGGGAGGCGGGCAGTGGTGTTGCATGGTTGGGTAGCTTTGCTGGCCGGTAAAATCCCAGGAAATCATCCACAGTACCGTAAAATCTTGGCAAAATCCGCCAGCATGCGGTAAAATACTTCGTTCCGTAAAATATATTAAAATCCATAATTTTGCGGTAAAAATCTTTATTTTGTAAAATCTTTAGTTCCGCTACGGTAGCAGGTCGGGACGGGGCACTAGTGGTATAAAACGGGGGGTAATCCCGGGGTTACCGGGGTAACCTGCTAATTCCAGCTCTACGCACGACCTATGCAACACTATCCAGAGTCTGCTCGTTTTCAGAGCAGGCTCTCCTAAGAGTGTCGAGGGTCTTGGGCGGGAGATCCGGATGTTTGATCCCGAACACGGTCACACCCAGCGAAGTGTAAGGCGCCCTTCCAGGTAAAAATCCTCGGGTGTCACTGGATATCTTGTTAAATGAGGTGCACCATAAGTGTGGGCCTGTGCTGCAGCAAGACAGTCAACGGTCTTGTGGTGGTCCGCATGCACGAATGCTAGAACGCCACCATTTTTGCCCCCGTACACACCAGTATTGCAACGTGGATTATATGTGTGCATTGTATGTATGGTCAATAGGAACAATGCTGGCAGTGAATATGTTTGACTGAATTGGTGATAGTGGTCATCGCTTGTTTTAGCATGTCCGTCTAATTAAAAGACTGGCCAAGAGTGTGCATTATATGAGCTTACAAGCTAACTAGCTGTGATTAAGCTCGAATGTGCTTGTTAGGAGTATCAGTGGAGGCACAGCAGCATGCATATATATATATATATAACTTAGTATTTGCGATCAAAGGATAGGTATGAGGGGCCGTAAGAAGGTCACGCCCGTGAGTCAACGCGGCATAGCAGCATGTATGACCAGCCCGCACATAGCCAAACACGCACAAGGCAATGACTCGAACGTCGAACAGACACCAAAACAGCAAAATAAGCCTGGAAATTTTCCTGATGAAGGCATTTGGGATGGAGGTGCTGTTGTCGGTAACTCAGTGGTCTACGAGGGGAGTTGTAACTTATCGGAGGGGGGGTCTGGGGGGCGCGGAGGACCCCAGCGCCTCACAATTAAGGAATAAATTACCACAAACATAGCAATTTTGTTACTTAGGTTGGAATAAATTGAGACCCATCCTAAACGAAAAAAAAATCACTGCCCATGGGTAACCCATGGGTTACTGACCCAATCAGTGCCTTAGGGGTGTGTGGTGTGTGGTAAACATAGCTGCAGCGGCTGCTGAAAAGGTGTTTTTATTTAAAAGGCCGGCCTTTCAAAATGCAGATCAAGTGCTTAGCATGTATTTTTAGTCGATATGTGTGCCCTACTGTGTACCGCTATTACATCGACACTCAACACAGTCAACTATGATCCGTAGCAGGGTCTAGATTCCAGGTATCATCGAGACAGGGTTTCGCTATAGACCGGCATATATGCGGCTTTGCTCATCTGGCTCTGCTTAACATTTAACGTCTTGTTTTGTCACCTCACCAGCTGTCCTTATTATCTCCCACGCCGCCTGCCCTCCAGGATAATGCATTCCCGACTTTCTACCGATTCACCGACCACAAGATTACCTACATCGACGCCATCACACCTCTCAGCCAGACGAATTTGACTGCATACAAGCTTGTCGTGTACGGTGGATCCTGGGTCAGCACGGACATCCTCAACGTACACCTCTGCCGCTATGAGTCTTCTCCTGGGGAATGCCCCTCAGTTCGCTCCCTCGAGTCGAAGCCTCCGCCACCGAAGCTCAATCCCAAGCCATCCACGGGTTCTGCACCCAAGCCGCCACTGAGCAAGCAATCAGGCCCAGTAGCATCACAGCAGTCACCTCCCCGTGGTACAACCACCGCAGCTGTTGCACCCACAGTAGTCGATGTGTCAGGCGAGCTCCTCCTTCTGAACTCCCATGCTGCACTTCAGTGGACCATCAGAAAAAGTGATGGCTCCATGACACCCATCGCATCGGGCTATGAGCCACCCAAGACAGATGACCTTGGTCAGCCCGTTTCACCAGGAGCGCTGGTGACTATCGTAAGTTTTGAGTTTGCAATATGCCCTCATTAATTTGCTTGTATCCTTACACTTAATTTGCTGAAGAAGCCTTTCTTAAGGAAAGAATTTGTAATTACAAAGTTGCAGGTTCAAAATCCGGGTCGACATTATAACCATTAATTTGAGAGTGCAACTCTTTTCTATAGGTCCAAAGCCATCCCAGGCTAATTAGTGGCCATGCATGCGCCATATTTGAATGCACATCCCATGATGCGCACCTAAAGACGCCCTTCTAGCCGGCGACGTTTACCGAATATACCAGGGCATACATGATCATGTAGTTCATGAACTATGAATGGTAAAATTAATGTTCAGATGGGTATAGCTAAATCGTTGACTCCTAATTTTTGCACCACCCTTAAGCTTATCACCAGTGATGTTTTTTTCATTTAGGGCGGGTCTCAATTTATTCCAACCTAAGTAACAAAGTTGCTAGCGTCGCCGTAATGTATTCCTTAAGAGTGGGGCGCTGGGACCCCCCCCCGATAAGTTACAACTCCCCTCATAGACCAAGAGGCACGCACTGCGTTGGCGCGTTTTCGATCATGTGCGCACTCTTCATGCACATGCATAGATAGTTCTGGCACTGTTTGTGAACAAAAAGTAAATCCGACCAAGCAAAGGCCCAAAGCAAGCAACCGCATAGCAAATCAATGCGCTGTGTCTGAGCCCGCTTGGCACTGCGAGCGCTCGGGTTGGGCGCCTCGCCGCATTTGTTGTTGTCGAGCTGATTAGGTGACAGCTTGCGCTTATGCTGATCACAACCGCCATGGAAGGCAGGGGTAATGGCGCCCGTGTCATCGGTCGCCGCTGGCAGCAACACCATTGCCGATGCATTACCGACAACAGCACCGCCGTCCCAAACGCCTTTATCAGGAAAATTTTCAGGCTTATCTTGCTGCTTTGGTGTTTGTTCGGCGTTCAAGTCGTTGCCTTTTGCGTGTTTGGCTATGTAAGGACCAGTCATACATTCTGCTATGCCGCGTTGACTCACGGGCTTGACCTCTTACGGCCCCTCATATCTATTCTATGATCGATAATACTAATAACTGCACACTACGGAGCAATCTGGCAGCAATGGACGTTTTTGGCTGGAGGAATGAAAATGTACGGATCGGCCTCAATTTGTTCCTTATTTCCAAAGGCCAAAATGGCCTCTTTATTCCTTAAAAGGAATATATTACTTAAAAAAAAACACTGCTTATCACATGCTGGATTTGGGATCACAGCCTAACCATGTTCCTGATGACATGATCACTCCTCCGGGGGTTCCCCTTGCTTTTTAACGGTCCACTTCCACTCCTCTCGCAGCCGTGCTACATTGATGCCCTTGGTGTCTGTAATCCGGTGCCGGGCTATAGTACCATCGTCTTATCGGCGCAGCCACTGCTCCTGCGGGACACTGAAAGGATCAGCCAGCGACTATTGGTGATTCTTATGGACTACTCATCTTGTGGCTTTCCGCCTCTGAATGAAAACTACGTACGTTCACTATTCCTTGGGCCCAAAGGTGACGGCAGCGGTGGCATTGCTAAACAATTCACGCAGTGCTCTTACGGGAAATTTGACCTGAATGCTACGGCGTTGAAAGTACTTATTGTAGAGAGCGCCTGCCCACTGCTGCCACCCTCGGAGTGCTCCTTTTATAACACTACTGTGGCTGGCGATGATGGAGCACGGAAGCTGCTAGGGAATGCAGTATTCGCAAGCTTCACCCACAAGACATACATCTTACCGCCGGGCCGGTCTTGTGGCCCAGCGGCAGGCATGGCATACCTGCCTGGCACCCAGACAATGCTGATGAGTTCATCCTATGGTGTGGAGCGAGTGGCGACGTTCATGCAGGAGGCAATGCATAACTACGGTAAGGCAGCTGCTGGAAAATGTATTATAAAACAATGGGCACTCGCAGGAGGTGGCACTGGCAAGGGGATCGGATTCCTGATCCTGACAGATCGGATTCCTGATCCTGACAGATCGGATTCCTGATCCTGACAGATAAGATGTTGCCACCTCAGGTTTGGAGCAATTTCAGAGCGGCATGTGATGGGCCCCGCGGCCTCGCGGCCCCGCGGCCCCGCGGCCTGCAATAGATCTATTCTACCGTTCTAGAACGGTCTAGATCAAGGATGCCCTCAGCTGTAGAATAGTATTGTATCCTGGACATACCACGGAATTCTGCCATATTTCATGGAATTTGGAACCCCCATCTTCCCAGAGTGTGATCTAGCTAATTTGATGGTCATGTGCCGTATGGCGGGAGGACGTGTCCTCTGTACATAGCAGTGAACCACGTGACATGTTTATATCCTTTTCGTTCTGCATGCCTAACCCCACCAGGTCTCTTTCACTCGTGGCAAAATGGCTTGGAGTACGAGGACTACTCTACTCCCATGGGGCGTGGAGATGCATGCTTCACTGCTCCCGAGCTGGCGTACCTGGGCTGGGCCACACCCGCACCAGGCGGTGATCGTATTGACTCCAACCGACTGCGTGTAGGAACCAACCTCACCTTCGAACTGCCCGCCACCTACCTATCCCCGGACGGAAACTACCTCCGAGTCGTCCCCGACTGGTTGCCATCATACAGTATCAAAACCCTGGCCAAGAACCTGTACATCGCTGTACGAGTTAACAAGGCGGGGGATGTTTACCTGGGATCTTTCTATGCAAACAAAGTGAATGTTCATGAACTCAACGCGTCTCTGGTAAGTCTGTCGTAGTTTTGAGTTGCTAAGCATAGTACATCACAGCGTAATGCATACTGCTTAAAAGCTGGTCGTCGTCATACTTCCAGCCAATATTGATGGTCGTTTTGGGGCCTGGCCAGGCTATGGTTTGCATAAATGCCATAAACAATCCCCCTGCAAGCCTCCCCGCAAACCCACTCGTCTCCTTATCCGGCTTCCGTTATTTATATGTAAATATTACTATCCCCCTCTCCTAACCCGACCACTTTCCTGGCCAATGATGTTGCAGGACAACAATCCCTCGACCAATATCTATAGCCCCCGTAAGATGGCGTTTGTCAGCGCCATTCCACCCCGTAGCCAGGTGGATTTGACCACCTACAAACTTGTCGTATATGGCGGGGTTTGGGTCGGCGGCACGGACATTCTCAGGGTCCATCTGTGCCGATACAATTCCACCCCTGAAGAGTGTCCATCAATGGATGTCCTCGAGTCGCCACTCCCGCCATTCCCGCCACCACCCTCAATGCCGTCACCACCCACCCCGAAGCCGCCAAGGCCATCTCCACTTACCCCGAAGCCGCCAAGGCCGTCACCACTAACCCCGAAGCCGCCAAGGCCATCTCCACAACCGCCAGCCAGCCCCCGGCAGCCGCCTAGCCCTCGGCCGCAGGCCAGGTCCCCACCACCAACACGCAAGGTAGGACAAGGGCGGCTTCAGATGCATGCTTCGATGCTACACCACTTGTGTTTGTCTGTTCCAAGCATGGCGGCAGGACACATGACAGGATGGGCCTGAATCCATGCCTGTGGTCGGTCGACACCGTAGGTATCGCATTTGGCTACATTGCTTACTTCCTACGTGTATGTGCATGCATGTATATGCAACCCACTGGTGACACGTGGACCACACGCAATCGGTCGCTCGGGCTATTCACACACGAGAGCATCACAGCCAGCTATACAACTGGATACGGCCTTATGACCTATACTCCTTGAAGGATAGATAACTACAAACCGGGATCGGCGCAAGGGCTAAAATGTTCAGATTAAATTAAAACAGATGTTGGTATCCTGCCTGACGTTTATCTTGCCTTGAATCTTTTAAGGCAAACTTGAAGTAGCAGGAGTAGCCGCCCAGGGTGTAGATGCTAGTTGTTGCGAATGTTCCACACATGCTGTATTACGGCAACGCTGCCACAGCATTACTAAGCTAGTACGTTTGCGATAAGGACTTCCTCAGTAAATAATTGTTTTTCTTTGGTTCCGGTTTTCCAGCGGTTGGCCCCATGAGGCCGGATGTCACGATTACCACAAAACTACCACAAAACGGGCAACCCGGTCTGGCTGCTTAAGCTTCATGGATATCCCAAGGCACCTGAGTTGGGTTGAAGCCCGGTAGGGCGGGTAACCGGGAAGGAACCGGCCTGTATTAAACCATAGGTCCCAAGAGTCTGAGGAGCAGGCAAAAGTCGCAATCGCTGGACTGAATCTTGTTCACGTTGCCACCTTCACCGGTCCCCAGGTGCTTGTTACATAATATTCATAAACTGAAGCTGCTTTCACAATTTTTACCGTTGTGGTGCATGCGTGTGCCTGCTACTTACATTGCCGAATCCCGCAGGCAAATTGATGTCGCTCACAAGCTTCATAGGATGGCATTCCGGAGCTCAACCACTGGGCATGTGTAAGAAGGGATCAGCTCCCCTGGCATCTCCCTGAGTACTCTTTGCCTGGTGTTACAGCATGCATGCAGCAGCGAGCTGCAACCCTACTTCCTAATAATGATGACGGTTCCGTCGCCGGTGGCAGCCTGCAAATAGACGTTTGGAGAGGACTGCAAGCTGGCAGACGGCGGACTACCAACCTAGTTAATAAACATTGTTAAGTTGCTCTTAACGTGCATTGGACATAATGTCCACCAAAGGCTTGGGTACTGTGTTGTAACTTGAATATGTATCCAGACAGCATGTTCTCTAGAGAGATGATGGAATGACGGCTCGCTATGGAAAGTTCCTGTGCATGGTATGTAGGATGGCGGGTACATAATAACTGAAGCAAGGACAGCCTAACTGATGATGAGCAAGCAAGATCTTATGACAGAAGCTTTAAGGCAGGGTGGAAGATTTGTACATCCATGAGTACTATACAATTGGGGCACTGATGACTCATCAGTAGCAGTCCTTCATCAGCGGTGCATGTTAACTAGTATCAGCAGTGCTGATGAGATAAATGGCGGTGGTAATTCGCTGCTGCTGATGTACAGCGCACATACATGTATGTACATACAGCGCGTCATCCTCTTTTGTAAATTAACAAAATTTCTGTTCTTTTCTCCGTTGAGGAGGTACTTCACCCGTGCACATGACGCGTGGGGTACGTTCTCCGGATCCATTGGATGCAATGGACAATAGCTTGCTTGCAGCTATACATACAACGTTGAACAAACGTTTGTTTGTGCAGCAGAGTAACGAAGTATGATGAAGTATGATGAAGTGAGGGGGCCCTATGGCATAAACATGCCAGTTACCGACCGTTGGGGGCCCATTAACCCAACCGGCCGGTTGAATGGCGTTAACGGCCCGGTTGGGTTAACGGTCGGTTGGGTTAATGGCCAGTTGGGTTAACGATCAGTTGGGTTAATGGTCAGTTGGGTTAATGGTCGGTCTGGACTGTGTGTAAGAACTTGCTTGAATCGTTACAGCTACCCAGTCCAGGTATTCATCCTACCTAGCACTGCAGGGTGGCACCCTGCCTCCCTATGGCATAAACATGCCGGTTACCGACCGTTTGGGGCCCATTAACCCAACCGGCCGGNTGAATGGCGTTA